GAAGGGAGAAGAGAAGGCATTGGGGTGGAAGAGAAGCCACCCCATGCTGCCATTTCACCCATAAAATTTTAGTTCACTTGGTATAATTCAAGATTATTTTCTTTAAATCAACACTGCACTGCACGATATATTATCAATATGTAAAATCTATTTCAAAATGACCAATAATTTGACTGGAAATGCAGAAAAAAAGCCTTTATGTTGAAGAGAGTCTCAAACAAGATGTTCCTTCCTCTGAACTGGTAAACAAACTGACGCCAAGCTCTGTGTGTTGAGTGGCTGTTTGGCGTGCAAAAAATTAGTTTCCTGTACTTCAATTATATTCAATAATTGTTAAAATTACTAAAAATTTTAATATAAAACTTTTAAAATTATTGAATAGTACAACCTTCTTGATATTTACTAAAATGGTAAGGAATTTAAGCCCTAGAACCGATTACTGTATTGGCGGACTAATACTACAGCTGGTGGGCAGCCAAATGCAGGCGAAAACATGTTGGGAAAATTCATAAGGAATTCGTTGACTGGGGGTTTGCTCGTTAGCCGAAGTGAAGAATCTTATGGAAGGTAATTCGTTAACCGAGGGATCACTGTATATGTTAGTTGAACGAAAGGTGTTCTCTCTCTCTCTCTCTCTCTCTCTCTCTCTCTCTCTCTCTCTCTCTCTCTCTCTCTCATCTTACTGTGGCAGTAACACCTAGTAAGGTATTTTGCCTGTATATACAGTATACATACTTCAATAAATTTCACTTGCTTTTCATTTGTCGTTTCTTTTCATTACCCAACTTGTACTATTTACAGAGTATTTTAATGGTAGGGTGAGGTAGTTATGAAGTGGGTTAGAGGTGTTTATTTATTTAATCCTAACCTAATCACCTGTGGTTTGGCAAAATCACTAATCTGGCACTGCTCAGGAACCAATCAGACCGGATTTGAGATGTACGGTAGTTCAATGGTGGATATTAATAGATATTTGGTCGTTTTACAGTACTGTACAGTATCTATTTATTTATTTATTTTTTATTTTTTTAATGGACATGGCCATGTACTGTAACCTATGTGCCTTTAGTGTTTATTACTGCACTGTCTAACAACTAACATGATTAACAGTGATGGTCTATGATGGGTCGAGGGAGGCGTCTGGCCCTTGGCATCTTTGTCCTGCTGGTGGTCGACGTCATTTGGGTGGCTTCATCAGAATTGTCGGAGGTATTATTTTCTTACGTCATGTTCAGTTTTTGTCTGTGATATAACATGAGAAAAATATAGTAAGTTACAGAGTTTACTTGCTGTACCAGTTCATTTCTACATTCAGAGTTGCCTGAAAAGCTCATGCTTGCATTACAGTATCTATATTGAAGACACTGAGTACCATACATCTCAACAGCCTTGAATATGAAAAACCGCACAACTGTTTTCTAAATGTTTGTTGAAGAGAGACTGGAAGTAACGGAGAGATTGAGTAGGGGTGGAAGAGGTCATGGAGGAACCTGTTGAAAAGATTAAGAGAGAGAATGAAGTCTGTTCCCTACCACATTCTGACCATTAGAATTTTACTAACCACAGTGACTTTGAGAGCAGAATGTCTGGAAAAAAGGATACAAGGAATACTAAATTTAGAAATAAGATGTGCAAATAAAAGGAGACTAACCAGGTTTCTTGAGATGGTGTGGACAGGTTGAGAAGACGGGGGAACAAGGATTAAAAAAAAAGAAGTAAATGGTAGGAGAGAAAGTGGAAGACCAAAAAGGAGATGAAAGAATGGGCTGGTGTATTTAATGGATAAAACGGGAATAGACAACAGGGAAGAAGCAGAGATCATGGTGTTGAGTAGTTTATGGGGATGGACCTGCCTCTGAGGGGTGGTATTAGGTTTACTAAAGTAATGTGGGTAAAGCAGATGGAAATCTTTAGATTGTGTTGTGGAAGGGAAGCACTGTAGCAGAACACATCTTATGCACAAGTTATTAATGAATGATCAGCAGCAAATAATGGGAGGGTATCTGTTTCTCTTGAGCCTGAAACACTTTCTTTTTAGTATACGCTGTTTGTAACATTAAGAGAAAATAAATATATAGTATAAGGGATGAAAAATAATAGACTTTTTTATATTTTTCAAATTTTATTTTCAGTATATCTTCAATGATACCGGCTTCAATAAACCTTTTTTCAGTACATACTTAAAGACCAGTATGTTTTCACTATATTTGCTGGGATTTATATTTTGGAGCCCCTGGAGACACCAATGTGCCCAAAGAAACCACGATGAGAGCATTTACCAGGTAAGTTATTTATTGCAATTCATATTAGATTATTTTTTTGATATTTTTTGTATGTGATATGGAAATAAATTTCTTTTAGGGTAATTGTGTTGCTCTTTTTTCTGTGTTAACTAGACTTGAGTCATGCTATACATACTGTAGAATATTTACTGATTACAAAAGGCATTGGTTATTCCTTTTATTTCCAAGGCCTCCAGACCACCATTTTATTTCATAACTTTGCCTTCTCTTTCCCCCTTATCCCCTTCACTTCCTCTTGTGCTGAATAGAATCATCTGGCATTAGCCAAATGAAATATTTAAGAGACAATGAAGGGGTTAATACAGTAAAACCTTTATCGTTTATCAATCAATACTTTACAAATTGGCTAGTTCATACATGCAGTTCAATGTGTGTTATGTTCACCAAAAATTAAATATTTTACACTTCCATCAATATTGCAAAATATAAAATTAAAAATATAAGAAAATGTGTTCAACAAAAAACAATAGCAAAGCAAGTAGTGATGTACAGTATGTTCATTGTACAGCCCATTCTTCCTGCATCACCTGAAGAGGCACTGGGAGGGAGTGTATATTAATGTGAAGTGAAAAATGTATTGTCAAAGCACTTGGTCAGTAATGTGTCCAAATTTAAGCTTTCTAGCTCAAAATTTTCCATAAATAACATCCAGACAACATTAAGTGTTGAGTTGAGTATGCTTCTAATATTCTCTTGCTATTACAGGAAGTGGATTCAATGGAGGATGAAGATTTACCGCTGTCAGACGTTTGGTATGTTGAATTGTACTTGCCATTTGTAGTTGTGATGTAATAAAGTATTATGTTGATGTAATTGTGAATGGGTGCTTGTAGTACTTAATTGTATTATTAACTCCTTCACTTCAGTGTTCAAATTATGCAAAGTATAAATAGATTTTGCGCCTTAATCCTTACAATAATTTTGTGTCATTTATATTAAGGTGATACAGCAATTATTAAAGCATAATATTTCATAGCTAAATAGAGTAATTTCTTATTGCTGGCTTTGTTCCAACAATTTCAGAAAGAGACTCAATTATAGCCTCAAATCTGGTGTAAAAGCATGTTGTTGATAAGCCTCCAAACTCCTCATTGCTCATGTCCCTCATTGTTATCTCTACCATTAGCATTGGGGAGTTCTGATGGTCAGTCGTCATTGTTATTGTCACTGCTGTCGATACCTTTCTTTTCTATATCTCTAAATTAGGTGTAAATTAATGTAAAAATAACAGTAAATTTATTGTGTGGCAGTTGTGGTAAGACTGGTGGAGGAGTGTGGTGTTTTTTTATGAGGGAAAGACAATTGTTTGAAGACCGGGTTGGGCAAAGTGTTTTATAACCATTTTCCACGCTTGTGTGGATTAGCCGTGATTATCTGATGGCAACTTTCCATTCTACAGTCTTTTGCATTCCCTCTTGTCAGGTTCTTAACTCTTAATGTCATTTCTTACAACCTCTCCCCATGTCATTCTTGGCTCTTCTCCCCCCACATTTAGACTCATACACCTCTTGACCTAATTAGTGTGATTCATTCTCCAAAATTCCAAACCATCTCAGCATACTGCTACACAGAATTTTGCCAATAGAACTCAATACCAGCCACCCTCTTACCTCTGAAAAGGATTTTTTGTCTTTCAGTGCCACATTGCATATCCACCTCACTAGTCTCATTTAACTTGATGGATAAATGTATTGCAACTGCATAGGTTGTAGTAGAGTGGTGTGGTCCAAAATTGTTTGGGTACACCTGTTTAAAATTTGCATGACAGGAGAAATTATGTATTAATGAATATATGTAGCACATAGTGAAAAGTGTTCACTTACTTAAAAATTTCTTCTATACAAAGTCTATTCAGTATACAGACTGCATATAGTGAGGAATATCTATACTTAAACACTTGTCAAAAGGTTACTTTTAACAAGTTTTATGAACAATCTGAAACCCAGAGAATACATTAATTCTTTAGAAGTTGCTATTTTGCATGACCTGGCATTTTCTGAGAACGCAGCTACTGCACTGTGTGGAGTTTTACTGTGCTCAGAAACCTTCACCTAAGTCATTGATGAGGACCTCAGATAACTACGTACCTGAGGCTGATTACCCCCATTTTGTTATTTATTTTTTTCCCAAGTTTTTATCCATTTTATTATTATTATTTTTTACAGGGATTAGCCCACCCGGGCACAGGTCACTGACCCACATCGGGGCCTGGGGGCGAAAATGTCAGGAAATCTTAATCAAATTTATGGAAAATATTTTTTAATGTTTTACCAATAATTATCAGGGTTTATACTGATTATTGTAATGTATATTATAGAAGTATTTATTTTTATTACTCTTCTTATTAATATGAAGCTCTTGCAGACGAGAGACAGGCGCACCCCTCCACCTGTGCCCATCTTCACTTTGGACCAGCTGGCATCTAGTGTTGCGAGAGACAGTGATGCGAATGCTCAACTGACACATTTGGTCCTGTGGCACTATTTACCCATTCAACAAGCTAGAACGATTTATAACAACAATGATGAAAAGGTGTCTCTAAATTATTTTTGCCAGTCTGTCACGAGCCTGGGCGCTCGGGATCTCGCATAGCTTGAGGCATCTGTTCACGCTTCCATTTCACACAAGCTACTATTAATTTGTTAATTGTACTTATTATATTATTATTGTTCTTAGTTACTTAGGTTAATTGTATATTTATGTATGTAATTTATATGCATCATTGTCTTACTCTGTTAAGTCAACTCAAGAGTAATATTAATTAATTATATAAAATATCCAGCAAATGTCTAGATCACGTGATATGAGACGCTCCTCCACGGCGTACCCACGCCACGCTCCCCAGTAGCGAAAATCCGTGGCATAGGTTAGACGTGTCTATTCGTTCTCTAGCCTTGACCTTTGTCTAAGTGCTTTATCAAGTCTCTGCAATGCCCTAGGGGTATCAGGTATTAGTGACACGTTTAGTTAGGCCTAGGAAGGGATCCTGGTGGTAAGGTATCTCCTGTTTGGTAGGGATAATCATTTTGTAGTGATTGTTGTATATATATATTTCGTATGTCTTGTGTAATATAGTAATGTTAAGTAATATTTGTTTGGTCTAACTCCTTACAGTATAGTTTCGCCCTTCCGGCATCACTCTTATTTTATTATACAATTACTTATTCACTTAAATTCATGTTTGCTAATCATTACTCCCTTTAAAACATAAATTGAATTAATTAATTATCTTCCTTTTGTAATTCACTTATTTCAACTGGTCTTACTTTTTCAAGTACATTTAGTTGAGTAGGTTTTTGGTGAGGATAATTATTGCCGTGTTCCCTGTTTGTACCTTTATTTGTTAATAACTTGGGGTAGGATTCACTCCCCAAGTATAAAGAGTAGTGGGATCGCGACAAGTGGGGGCCTGTCCTGGAGCTAACCGCCATTGTTGCGTCATATCAAGTGTTGTTACTCGCCAGGTGTTGTTTCATCGTTAAGTATTTTTGGATGCAAGTTGCTGTGTTCACAGTGTTCATTTATATTGCTCCTGTTATTGCTTAAGCTACTGGTGAGTTAACCCTTATCTTGTGTACCAGGTGTTTGGTTAATCCCTTGCTGTGTTTCACAGTTTATTGCATTTTGATATTATTAATTAGCTAGCTAGTTAGCTTAGCTGCCACGGTTACTTTTTTTTCGCTACTCGATTTTGAATTCAACATGTTTGACCTGGAAAGCTTTTTGGCTTCACCTTCAGCCGAAGTACTGAAGGGGCTTACTAAGGCAGAGTGGCAATCCCTCGCTGCTTATTATGAAGTAGAAGGCCGCTCTTCCATGAATAAGTCTAGTTTAGAAGAGGCTGTCCTCAACTACCTTATTGACAATGAAATCATAGCCCAACCGTCGGGAAATTCAGAGGAAATTGTTACACCAAGTAATTTGGCCTTACAAGTTGAACTCAAAAGACTCGAGGTGGAGCTGGAAACTCTCAAACAACGAGGTTTGGCTCAAGGTAGTAATACTTCAACATTCAGTGTAGACAAATGTCTCAACAGTGTTCCTAAATTTAATGAGGAAGAACCAGACAAATTCTTCTCTCTTTTTGAGAAAATTGCCCGACTTAACAAGTGGCCTGTTTCTCAATGGTCTCAACTTATTTATAGATCTTTCACTGGTAAAGCATTAGATGTGTTTTCTGCCCTCTCTGAGGATCAATGTCGAGACTATGCCCTTGTTAAGTCCGCGGTTTTGAGCGCTTATAAACTTGTTCCTGAAGCCTACCGGCAACAGTTCCGTAACTGCCGGAAGACTGACAAACAAACATTTGTGGAGTTCTTCAGGCAGAAACAGGTTCTTTGTCGGAGGTGGATTGAAAGTGAGTCTGCCCATGTAGAACATGACAAGCTTGTTGAACTAATCCTGCTAGAGGAGGTTAGAAAGTGTATCCCAGGCGACATTCGAGCACACTTGGATCAGAGAGGTATCTGTACCCTGGCTGATGCTGGTCCAGTGGCTGACCATTATTCCTTAACTAATAGAAATGTAAATTCCAGGTCTTATGCTCCCATGTCCCAGTCCTTCACTTCCTTCAAGCGGCCCACACCAACATCTACATCGGGGTCCCTGCCTCTTGTCATACCGACCCGACCCTCAGGTTCTGCATCATCTACCCCGGGTGAGCCCATGGTCCATGGGACAGGTGGATCCACTCCTACTGGTGAGAGAAACTCTAGTTGTAGGTACTGTAAGAAGCCAGGACATGTCATCAGCGACTGTCTCAAGTTAAAGAAAAGAAATTCCTCTCACCAAGGATCCCCCACTCTTTTGGTCAGGGTGGCCGAGCAATCGGAGAAATTATTGGAGCCCTGTGTCACTGCCCTCAGTCAGACTGTTGCCCTGAATGCTTCCCCCTCTTCTATGACATCAACCTTTGAACCATTTTGTTCTCCTGGTTCCTTAGCTTTGGATCAATTCAGTCAACCCATTTATGTTAAACTCTTGAGAGACACAGGCTCAGCCTTATCTCTTGTTACTAAAGAAGCTGCTCCATTCCTGGATTCATGCTATACTGGTAGCTGGGTGCTTGTGAACGGTTTGACCGGTGGGTCGCGTATTCCCCTTTGTCAAGTGTACCTGCGGTCATCCATAAAGTCAGGTTATGTCACGTTAGGAGTAGTAGATAGCTTACCTGTAGGAGGGGTCTCTCTATTGATAGGAAATGACCTTGTTGGCGACATGATGTTCCCTAATGTTGTGATCTCATCTTGTCCCACTGCCGAGAATAATACTGTGCAGTTAGAAGTAGACTTTCCAGGGTTGTTCCCTGCGTGTGCTGTGACCCGTAGCATGAGCCGCAGTACAGAAGTAGAAGAGACTAGTGAAGTTGATGAAGTTTCCCTCCAGGACTGTGAGAAGTCCGAGGATAATCTTGTTCAGCCGGACCATACTGATCTTGGTCTCAGTGAATTCTTTGAGGATTCCCCACCACCAGGTAACCTCCAGAGTAGTTCTGATGGAGATAGGAACCCAGATGTCACTAGTTTTGGTTCCTCTCCCATCACTAGTGTAATGGTCATGATAAGAGCTAACCTGAAAACCTTAAGGATTCATATTACGCTCAAACGTCCACAAAACCTTCCGAGTCCCCCAGTGGAAACGTCCCCCGTTTTCTCTGTTTCCCCCGCCTTTGTCTATGGGAGCAGACGCTGTATGCTGGGACCTGTTGCCATCCATTCCTTTGTAATCAATTTAATTTTGCTTTCGATAGCTGAGTCAGAGCATTGTTAGTGAAGATAATAGTAGAGAATGAAAATGAGTTCATAGTCTCAATTTCAACGTCAGAGGGTACCGTAAATTAATTCATTGGAATAGGAGTAGCTGGACTCCCTGGCCTAGTTTGAGTGAGGGCGCCGCGGGCATTTTAACCGTTAGTAAGTGCCCGTCCCTTCATCCATACAGGTATGCCATTCCACGCTGTGTTGTAATTTGCCCTTCTTTAAGTGATTTGACCCAATTGATAGTTGATTGTGCAAGTGTTACAGTAACGTAGTTGATATGCTCTGAGTAAAGTCATATTTACGTCTTTAACGTCCCCTGAAACGTGTTGTTGTTGTCACCAGTTAGTAAGTGCCCGTCCCTTCATCCATACAGGTCCCTAACGCAGCCTAGGCCGTGTCTGTAGGGTGGATGTTGTATCCACTATGTCTGGGGACATGTCCGAGGTCCAGTAGGATCAGTTACCTTCGTGAGACCCGGCCGTCAGACACTTCAGACCACCTATAGCCCCCATAGCTGGCTCGTCTGGCCCTAACGCTCGGTCCACGAGGTGACCCTGGACCACCAAGCCACACACCACTACCAGCCCCCATCATTGGTGGATGAATGTCTACCTCAGTAGGGCTATATTTGTGTGGTGGAATTAACCCACTGGGATCTCCAGAGTTCGTCGGATAGTACTCCATGGTGGCTGGACCCCATGGCTGTTGCTTGAGTATCACTCCTGACGACTGAGTGTTGTAGTGGCAGTTGCCCTAGTATGTATGGTGCTAAGTGACTATCCTAGTTGTGCTATTGAGTATGTCCACCCAGTAGGGTTGGAAGGGTATTGAATATGTCCACCCAGTAGGGTTGGAAGTGTATTGAATATGTCCACCCAGTAATGGTGTGAGTATGTTGAGCCTGAGGGCCTAGTAATAGATTTCGTCTGTTAGTACAAACCAATTCTTTCTTCTAATTTCATATTCATGTTTAAATAAACTTTGTATTTGTATAATTGTGTATATTATTTACCTACAGTATTTACCGTTATTTCTTCCCTATTGCTTGATACTATCATTACACCTACCCACGAGCCTCCTATCGTCACGCTACCAATGGTGATATATAAGAGTAAAAGGAATTGTTACTGGCACACAGGCCCTCATGAAGGGTGGCAGTAGCAGCCCTCATAAATGGTGGCAGCTCAAGCCCTCATAAATGGTGGCAGCTATGGTGATGTAATGAACATAGTATCGAGTTGGGAGGAATGACTGTGATACTGTAGTTTAACTGAGTTATAACCATTTCTCTGTACGGGTATTTAATAACCATTCCACTGTAACTAATGAGTATTTCAGATTGCTAATGATTTTGTCCCATATTTTTCCGAGGTACAGCTTTTTGTGGTGGTTTGCAGAGAGAGTGAAATAAGTTCAAAGAAATACCTTGGAGTTAGGTTAGAAAAAGTCTTGTTTAAAGTAAAAGGAAACCTGCAACAATAACTTGTAGAGTGTGAATAAGGTTCATTAATATTGGAAGAATTTTGATATGTAACAATCTGCCCAAATTTTTTTTCTGTTGTTAACTCAGTATTACTTACAGACAGTGAATACATGTTTGGGCCGTGGCACTAGTTGTGAAATGTTCCATCGTGGGAGTGCCCAGTGTTTTAATTCTGAGTGCTAACAGAAGCATTGCACTATATGCAAAGGTTAAGTGGATGCTAATTCTGCATTTGTAATATTCTTTAGTTATGTGTTAGGTAGGATATATATTCCATTTACTTAATATCTCGGGGCATTTTACAGTTCCTACTATTAATATTCCTATGTATACGCTATAATTTTAAAGTTATTTTAACCAGGTGCTAACGGGTCATTATTTTGTGTAACGTATGTTATGTGA